CAACTCGATTCACACTTCGTGTATCTGGAAGCCCTGATGCTGGTTTCCGTGGCCTCGCCAGCGTAGGTATAGCATTGATTCCTAGGGCAGAAATAGCTCTCTTAGACTGGATCCCAGTAGACATTCGTTAGTGCGCTGTCCGACTAAACAGAACAATAAGGATCCGAAAAGATAGGGACACTCGTCGTTGCATCTTTGTCGCCTCTGCCTATTGTCCCACTGACTGCAGCGCAGATGATGTAAAAGATGAGTTTTACAGTTTTACAGAAAGCTTTTGACTGATATATATAAGTAGTGAAATGCACTTATATAAAAATACAGCGATATATATGTATTAATATTATCAAATATAATATTTATTCACCATCTTTAATTCAATAAGAAACAAATTCATTTAGAACCTCTATGTTTAAAATTTTATTATTTTAATATACAACATTTCTTTAATATAAAACTGTTTCATTTTGACGATATATAAATCAAGTTAAAGTACCTTTTACCTTTTCAGCTTGTAAGTTTAATAAAACGAAGGAAAAAGGCATATCAGTTTATAATATGATACTGTTCTATGGTTTTCTTACTATTGTCCATTTAAAAAGAAAATTAGATGTCCAATAACATCTTTAGTATCACTGCAGTGCTATAAGTATATGAATACACAATATCAGAAACAAGGTAGAAGACAATAATTTTCACTTTAAGCTAACAACGTCATATTTTTCGAATACAATTATAACATAACGTTTTCCTGATACAGCGATTACAATTGGTGTTCAAATAGTTGGATTATGGTTCATCTGCTTTGTTGTATGAGAATAAATAAATAGTGTTTGCAAAGAGAAGAAAATCATTCAACTGGAAATTTTTCTACCCACTAGTCAAACTAAACAGACAAATTAATTCGATACAAATATATTGTCAAGCTTAACCAAGTTAATGAAATGCCTGGAGTAAGAAAAGCGTTGTCATAAATTGTATAAATAAGACGCTTCGTTTAGTATTACATTAATTTTGTTTTTAATTTTCTCGTTATATTTCAGTTTTATCGTGACAAATGTTGTAGAGTAGGTATAATGATAAGATGTTTTATTAAGTGAATTCTTTTTACGTCATCTGTTGTAACTATTTTACCTACGCAATAGTGTTATGAAAGAAATATATTTCATTTGCAATATGTAAAGCTCAATTCGTAATCAAAAGACTCTTAGTTTGGATTTGTAAAAAGCACTGAATAACAGGATACAAGTAATTACAAGAGCTTTTACATGAATGTGCAAACAATATGAATAAACTATTAGTAGGTCTAAAGGCACTTTTGAATTAATCACAATAATTGTCATAGCAATAATTCGCTTCAGTATAAACGTATGACAAATTTTTGTAACTTAGTTAAAGTAATAGACAGGTTTTCAATCGTTTTTAAAATATTATTAGGAATAGTAAAACTACGTTTGATGGTAGCTATAAAATATTAAGTAAGTCTCATATGTCTCATAACCATGGCATATGAAGCGTATATCAATTAATTGAGTAATTAAGTAATAAGTGAACATTAAGACCTTAGTACAAATGATCGACTTATAATGGGACGAAAAGCTATGTGAGTTTATTTGAAAATAAAAATTACTGTCTAAGCCTAAACCATTTATTTCTTTTTGTAAATTTTCTAATTGCATTGATGGAAAACTGTTTCAGTTATCAATCTGTATTGTCTTCAACTCTGTATTATCTACTTACTGATGCGGACTATATTTAAGTATACTGATGCTTCAGAATATAAATGAAACGTAAAATAAGATTTTCGGTGTGCTACTATATTTAAAGATTCAAGAGCAGGTTAATAATATGGAATTATTCTTCAAGAATTCAGATGTTCTTTTTTTCAGATTGAAAGAAGTGTGGTACCATGTGAGAAAACCATCAAATATTTATGAACATTTTCATGTTTCTTAGCAATTCTTAACAAAACAGTATTGCGTGTGATGGGTCAAGAGACTATTTGTTTTCATGACAGCGATAGAAATACACTCATCAAAATTCCTGAACTAATCTGTTGGGAAGACATGATCTTCTAGGTTTGATAGTGATTAGTCTCACAGTTAATCGTTTATAATACTATTTGTTAAGCCCATAAATTCTAAGGAAACGAAAACGTTGAATTGTTAGTTTCAGTATCAGTTCGTAAAGGACAGGATGCTTGTTGGCATGTGTTAGTCCTGGTAGTGATAGTATCTCAGTTGATCCAACTTTCTTTTGAAAGAGTCGACAGATGGAGCTTCAATCACGTGGTGAAGTAATGAATTCAACTCATTGATGATTCGGTGGAGAAGTCGATAGTCAGCTGACATGTGATTTGTTTTGGGCTTGTGAATTTTCTTAAAAAGTCATCGTAAATTCTCTGTTTTGGAAGTCGAAATTGGGGGCATATAAGGTGCAAATTTATCACTAAGTAATTTGAAAACTGTTTTCAGGTCACATCTGGTTCTTCCATGTGACAGCGGGTATAGATTTAGTTTAGCCAGTCGAGCATCATACGGAGCTTCCCTATTCTGGGACTCAGCTTAGTTGGTGTTCTCTGAACTCTTTACAAAAAATCTTTATCTTTCTTCAAACAGAGGCGAGCCACTTGTATGCAGTACTCAAATTTAGGACACACGAACAATGTATACAAAGTCAAAAAACGTTTTAGCGTCGAGATGACCAAAGGCCTTACATATTGATCATATGGTTCTAGAGTCTTAGGTGGCTATTGTACGGCAGTGTTTAGTAGTTTTTAAGTCCTGGATAACGATGAATCCTGAATTATTGTGTGTCTGGACAACAGGAACTTTGTCAAAAGCTTTGTTGAAGTCAATGTAGGCTACGTCTACAGTTAGCTTTTGATCTTTAAGAGCCCATCACTTTCGCGAGCCACTAATAAGTAAGTGAGACAGGAATAACCCAGTTCAAAACTATGCTGATTTTTCAAAAGGATCCAGTCTTCATTGAGATACATAAACAGCTCCTTCCGAATAATCTTTTCAAAGATTTAAACAACCACGCTGGTTAGGCTAACGGGTGCTAGTTCTCACCCTTATGTTTCGTACCTCTTTTGAAGACAGGACTTAATGTGGCGTTCTTCCAGTCGACCCTGAGTTACGGATAGATTAAAACATGTGCTACACCCATAGTGGCTTCGGCATCATTCTCTATCGGAGCCTCACAACCTAAACTTTTGTAAGTATCTAACCTAAGTTTTGGTTCTTCTCTTCGGCTTCTCGCCTTTTTACACTGTCTTTAAGTGGAAGCCTTTAAAGACAAAAAGTCCTGAACCCTTTAGTTTTGTACATTCTTTAATTTTAAATACATTTTCGTAGGATATTAAAACACTACTTTAAGCAGACTGGTTTGAATTTGTTTCAAGTTCGTTTGGCTACCTAGTCTATACACCTTTAACAAGGTGACTCGGAAATATCCTGAAACATAAGCTGATTTAGTAGCTGTTTGATCAACCTAATGTTATGCTCAAAACGAGTTTTAGGATCTGAGCTTTCACTATCCTTGATTCTATGAAAGATAATTGACCTGTCACTGAGACCAGTCCTTAATTTCCCGGCTACTTTTTGGAGGGTTGGATTTTATTTAATAGCGTTATGTCATTTCTTGTTCTCGACCCGTACCCATTCATCAACTTTCGTTGGAGTATCAACCACAGTCGCGTCAATTACACTGTGAGATTCCTAAATGTTATCGATGGCATGGGCAGTCAGGTTGTTTTTCCTGCTGGAGACAAATCTAGCCCTGTGATTGAGATTTCTAGGCGTTTCCTGCCGACTACCATTTAGAGGACGAGGGATAGAGAAAACTTCCTTTCTTGAGTTTTTATATAGGACAGACGTCTTTGAAATCGATCTTTTCTCTTTTGATCGATGTGAGCAAGCTATTTGTGTGTCCACAGAGCGAGTACTGTCCAATAAGTCCCGATCTAGTATGTTAATGCACTTTTAAGCAATATTTCCTACTGAAATGGTCACAGCTAGCAAGCTGTTTGCGTCCGAGGTGCACTGCTGACAGAACCGCACGCAACCATTATTACTAAACTGTTTGAAACCCGCAGGTGTTAGAGTCGTGGGAGCATCGCGGTACCAGCCTTTGCATTCGTCGCACTGCATGCCGCTTTCAACAGGGTATCAACAACCCGAACGTTAACAGTTGTTTTTCTTACGCTGTACAGCCATTGGAGGTTTTCATAAAGAAACTAGATATAATATCACCCAAGGACAAAAGTTATTTATGACCAAAAAGGTGGAAAACTGTAAATTCTTAGAACCAAAAATGCTAACAAATACAATAGAAATAAAGTACTCAAAGGTATCGACGATAAACTACTTCGGAAACAAAAACTATTCTCTTAGCGGATACTTTAACTGAAATAAATTCAACCAAAGTGTAAACAGTAATCTTGATTCGTGATAAACGATCAAATAATAAAATTTACTCGGCGAGGAAAAATATCACTATCATTTTTAAATAGCGCGCGGTGTTTGTAATTTTACTTTTTTTACGAATAGACTCTCTTTGTAAATAGTTGACTCTTGGGTTTCATTGAAAAGTCAACTCATCAAGCAATACTCTAGCTTCTAGATTTTCCATTGACGCATTTTCTCGTTTAGTAAAATGTCAACTTGGCTACACGTTATCAAGTAAATATACTAAAATACTTTAAGTATAATATAATGATCATTTGGACTGTTTTTTTTATAGATTTCCGCTGATTTGCCTCATTTGCTTTTCAAAATATCGTTGGGTGTCATGCACAGTCTCAGTTTAATAGAGCAGTAAACTTATAGCATGATGTTACCTTGATCAAGAAATTAGCAAATACGTAACCGCCGTGAATTTTCTTATTTATTTCACAAAAATCTCTATTTACCAGTCTTTGTTAATTTTAATTATAGAACATTGTTCAGTACAAACTGTCGTAAGCATTCCGAAATATTTATTTTCTCCTCTTGATTAACTAATTGAAAAACATCAAAAGACAATGATTGTAAGTAATATTAAGCAAAGATATTATTTTCTAGTGTACAATAATAAATATATACATGCAGAAATATACAGTCGTACATAATGAAGATATTTATATAATTATACACAGAAATATTCAGAAGAACTTGATTATCGTGAAATCACTGATGGTTAAATGCATTAGACAAAGAAAACAACTAAATATAACTGTTTAGTACATCTTTCACTACATCAAAATACTTTTTTATATCATTCCAAATACCTGATGATGAGGTAGATTTTTAAAAAAAAAAAAAAAATAAAAAAGCTGTCCAATAACTGTATACTTCTTTACATATTAAAATAAGCTTAGTCTATAAAGACATATTATTAACAGTTCATTTGAATACCTATAAAAAAATGATCAAATGAAAATCAGTTCTTTATATATGCAAAAATAAGAATAATTAAGAAAAGGTTTGGAATGTTAAATGATTATGGCAATGAAGCTGCTACTGACCATTAAATAATCATTATCATCACAGAGATCCAAATCAAATTATAACAGTTTCAGGATGATGTATGAATGCATTTAAAACAAAAGAGAAATGAAATAATAATTTTCATTTAATTGTATTTTAGAGAAGATTGTATTTTTAAAAATAAATATTATAAGAGATATATTTCGATATATATATACTCTTTTGTTCTCAGAAAACTCATAATATAACCAAAACGAGCCAAGTATACTGATAGTTAATTTGATCTCTACCTGTATATTAATAATATTCTTTCTTATTTCCCTTCGAGAATTGAGTTCTTTAACTATCCTCTGTGTTACAAAATTGAAGTATACGTACTATATGACATAAGTTCCTGATATATAGTACTCATTTTTACTGTTTTCTGTCAATTTAAAAACTGTTTCTTTTCGGTTTAATGAATACATAAGTAACGCGTTACATAAATATCAAAATAGTGTTTATCGTAGTTATTTATACCAAGTGTATAGAAAAAAATATATTATTCAATGTAACTCATAAACATTATCTTACCAAAATATGTCCTCTGAGCTTGTATTGAACAGTAGGGTTGCTTTAAAATAAACCAAAATATAAATTATGTAAATCGTTATATAAAAGCAACTTTCAAGATATTACCCTATGAAGAAATAAACAATTCATTTTAAACTTATATTCGATGTAAAACCAGAATTTCCTATAATTAGAGAATAATTTTGACACACTTTTCATCATATTGTTGTTGAAGCTAACAACACGCTCACTATTATTTTCAATTTAAATGGTTTACAAATGACTGTAAACGTTTTTAGTTACTTATTTTGAGTGTAGTTAGGTTTTACTACAACGATCTAAATGAATAACATAGAGAATTTAGGTTTTTTTAATTTAAGGTAAGTTGACACCTTTACATATCTGGGCGGCATCATTGATGAACACAGTGGATCTGATGCAGATGTGAAGGCGCGGACCGGTAAAGCAAGAGAAGCATATCTACAACTGAAGAACATCTGGAAGCCAACACAACTGTCAACCAACACCAAGGTCAGAATTTTCAATACAAATGTCAAAACAGTTTTACTGTATGGGCCGGAAACCTGGAGAACTACTAAAGCCATCATACAGAAGATATGAGTGTTTATTGATAATAGTCTACGCAAAATACACTATCAGCAACAACGTACTATGGGAGAGATTAATCCAGATTTTAGCGGACAAAGTATTCAGGAAGAAGTGCTGGAAGTGGTTAGGACACACATTGAGGAAAGCACCGAACTACGTCACAAGGCAAGCGCTCACATGCGATTCTCAAGGCCAAAGGAAAACCGAAGAACACATTACGCCGAGTAATGGAAACAGATATGAGAAAAATGAACAGCAATTGGACAGAACTGGAAAGGAAGGCCCAAGATAGAGTGTGTTGGAGAATGCTGGTCGATGGTCTATGCTCCATCGGCGTTAACATTCGTATGTAAGTTTTTGTAGGTCGTTTTGTATTAGCACAAAAGTCATCTAAAGAAAATCTTATCGTAATACTTTTCTGCGTTTTCCATTTAATATTTGGATTATGATGATATCTGAAACGTGTTATTCCTATTATATATATATATATATATATATATATATATATATATATATATATATATATATATATATATATATATATATATATATATATATATATATATATATATATATATATATATCCAGATAGCACTTCATTCTTATAAAATAAACACATGTAAAAGACCATTGACATATAAAAGTTCACTGGAAGTGCATATGAATCTGTCAAGTTTATGTCAATTACCAATTATTTTAAATGTTCATTATTTAAGCTTTATAAATGTAAGAGAATAGAGTTAATCAAAATATTTCGTATGAAACCACAGTTATCTCATAGATTGATTAATTATTATTTAACATAACATACAAGCGTACTTACACTTTTTCTAAAATCAATGTTTGTTCGAACTGATCGATTATTCAATTTTTGAATGGTTCGGTAATTGTCAGCCATGCTGCCTGATCCTCGAAATGGCGCTATTCGAAGTTGACGAAGAGATTTTAGCTAAGATATTAGTGTGATAAGATAGAAACAGATACGTATTAGTTCTTTCGAGATAATATATTTAAAAGGCGAAAATAACGTTATATACATCCCTTTAAATATAGTGTTGTTGACCATACTGACTAAGCAAAAGTATTAAAAAATTTAAATGAATATATCACTGCAAAATGTTACATTTCAAATCAAAATTGTTGGTCAGTTATTCATATTTTTAAAGGACTGATTAGTTTTATGCCTCAATTGATTCCAGTAACAAAATAATCATCGAGTGTTAGCATGTGATTTTGTTTGTTTGAATGATTCTAGGATATTCGTTCCCCTTTTTTAAGCTATTTTCATCATAATATACTAAAAATCCTCATCAAACATATTTATCGGGTGGTAACTTATATGATAGATGGTGTTTCTTTATTCATCTGTATCGATAAAAGAACAGAATACATGAAAAATGATATATAAGGTTGATAACAAATAAACATAGTAAACCAGCGTGATCAGTCAGGAAGGCGATCCAATCACTGAGACTTAAGGACAGAGGAATAGATGGAAAGAACACTTTGGAAAACTTTTGGATAAATACGCCACAATGAGCCTATCGTACATCAAAGGAACACATACAGGTTCTACGTCATCATCAACTGAAGAAATTAGCATGGCCACCAGACACATCCAATGTAGAAAGGCAACAGGACCAGGCAGCGTACTAGCTGAATCACTGAAGCCAGACATAGTACTAATCCTAAAGATGCTGCACATCCTTTTCAAAAGGATTTCGGAGAAAGAACAAGTACCAACAGACTGTAAAGGTTAATATGTTTGCAATGGCGCAGGTGCATCCACTCTTTGTGTTCTTTCAAATTCTAATCTCCTGATTCCTCCATGTCTTTTTTTTCTCTTTGAATAACATCTCCAAACCCTAATGTTTCCGATTACTGCTTATACTCTTACTATCTCTACCACTACGGGATTTGAATGGACAACTGCATCTCTGTGCTAATGTGGTGTGGCAACTCGAACTGATGTACGTTCGTACGAAGTTCTACGTTGTTACTGACTGACTGACTGACTGACTGACTGACTGACTGACTGACTGACTGACTGACTGACTGACTGACTGACTGACTGACTGACTGACTGACTGACTGACTGACTGACTGACTGACTGAAAGGTTAATATATCAAGACACTAAATAAAGGAAATCTGATCAGGTGCGAGAACTAAAAAGGCATCATATTTCTGTCAGTATCAGGAAAAGGTTTTAGTAGAGTGTTTCTGAACTGGATGAAATATTCTGTAGACACCCAGCTTCGAGATCAACAAGGATCGAATGCGCATGGACCAAATAGCTAAACTACGGATCATCGTTGAACAATCAATTGAATGGAACGCGTCACTATACATTAACTTCCTTGAGTATGAGAAACCATTTAGTTGTGACGATAAGAGAATCCTATGGAACCACCTCCAACACTGTGGTATAATTCAGAAGATCGTCAGCCTTAGTCAGAATTCTTACGAAGTTCTGCACTGTGAAGCCGTGCATGGAAAGCAGTTCACAGACTCATTCCTAATGAATTTTAATGTCAGACAAGGCCAGGTTTTATTGACAATTTTACGTCCTCTACTTGGTTACGACAGGATACTATATACAACTAACGGCAGTCGAAAGTGTAGAATCCCACAGCTACAAACCAGAAAACGAAAGAAGCAGGGGAATTGATTATTGGGAAGGAAAAACAGCGGTACTTATAATTATTAGTATTGTCTATAACACCATTATGATTCAGCCAGTTGGTAAGGAGACTAGTTATGCTATCGTCCAACCGTAGCATGTGATGCTGATATTTTAGAAGGCAGTGCAAGAAACTAGAATTTTCTTATCAATAATTAGTTAGTCAACAATTGTTGGTTATTTCCATAATTTAGCCATAATTAGCCATCATTCGGACATTTTATGCAGCCCAACTTGTCATTATTAAAAAGACAAGGATTACATTTCACTGAAAACCCAAACAGCATGTAAGTGATTGTGTCACATCCCATTGTGTCTATTAAACACGTACGTAGGGAGGATCAATCGTGATCTGAAATTAAGGGTGGGTGAACACATACCAAAATGACTACAGAAGCAAATGAATTCCAGTGATCAAATAAGATCAAAGGATAGACAGACATCTTCCTCAATTGCGAAACATGTGATGGAGACTGGTCATAACATTGATATCAAGTCAGCATTTGTAGTATTGTACAAAAGAATTCAAGGACGCATACTAAGGTTTATTGAAGCGTTGGCTATACGAAAACCGAAACCCTCTTTATGCGTTCAAAACAATTTGTCCTTACACTTAACATACCCTGGTAATACTGATTTATTATTTAGAGTGGTTATCACATTGTTTTTCTGTAATTTATTATTTTTTAGTTTGTTACGACTTATCTTTAACCTGTCTAGTTGACCTTTTAATTTTCATATAAAAATGTTCTTAAGAAGTATATGTGTGATCAGATTGTTTGAAATGTATTGCGTAAATATATCACATAATTCTGATAAAATTCATCTTCCAAAAGGACCAATTGTTTTAATTTAGGTTCGCCACTATTTATTATGAAAGCTTATGCCTTATATGATTACATACAAGATGGCAGTCCTGAGTTCGATAGCCGTTTCCATAGTCGTTGACGTACACTGCTGTGAAGTCTCTTTCTATAATAAAACAGGCGTCTAGTGCATCCACGTTCTCCATGTTAGCCTAACTAAGATCAGCTTTTAATTTAAATATATTTATTCTCTGTAGGAAACTTATAATTATGGTTTCGTTATACGCTTAGTTGCTAGGATAATTTATTTAACACAAAAGGTTTCATATTTGGAGTTATTAAGAATGGTCTATGAGTTGTGAATATATGTTGTCTTACCTGAGTTTCTGTAATTACGATCGGTTGATTAAGCAAAATCCATGTTGCAGTCTCATAACAGGCAGGAAATGGCAAAGAGCCTTGGTAAGTAATATATTGCATAGTAGACGGTAAAACAGCATCCAACAGCAAACCATGAAGCCTTTTAGATTGTCCTTTAAAGAACATTCGTTTGTTAATACAATTATGAATAATGAAAAAAATTAGACAATGAGTATATCTACATAATCGAATATTGGCAACATACAGAAATCTGAAACTATTTTCTAGCCACCTTATCCGTTATACATAGGATAACATGTAATACACAATAAAAGTTACGTTCTTTTATGTAAATACTGTCTGTTAATTTCCACCTAAATTCATAATAGTATGTAGATAATGATAAACAAATTTCTGCGAACTGACAAAAGTAATCTACCTAATTATCAATTCATTCTTCAATAATAATATTCAATTTTAGTAACATGCTTATAGAGGACATTTTTATTCTCTGGCTAATGCACATTATTTACGAATTCGGTTGTGGGTTGTCAATGTCTGTTTATGTTAAGTTGTTTTATTCTGTTTGACAGGTTAACTTTGAATGAAATGATATTAAATAATAATATCATCTCATTTGATAGGTATCTGAAATGACTAGAAAAATCCATAATTCATGCAACGTCAGTCACAAACAAACTTCAACAGCTTGCCGGGAACGATATTTATCATACTTATTACAACTAAGCACACTAATGTTCTATAATCTATTTTATCAGCAAAGAAACATTATTATGGATCAAGGTAATAGATTCATACGGTTTGTTTTATTTCAAAGAGCGGTCTACTTTGATATATTTTTATCGTTTCGAAATGTAGTACAGTCAGCTTGCTAAAAGAGTTGGACTAGAGTATACCTTTCAATTGAACCTGCTCTGCTGTAGATAGTAATGCTTCCAAATCAGCTGACGATTGATCACCAATCTGAAAGATTACAGAAATAAATTAGTTGAAACTAATTTAATCAGTAATTTAGATACAGTTAATTTCTATTTATTGTACTGGTCAACTTTGTTTAAGAAATATATTTCTTACTAGCTTTTTGTGGAGATTCAATCAATTTAATCCAATCATTCTGAAAACTGACATCAAGAAATTATGGCAATTCGTGAACCATATGGCTCATTTTATTGAGAACACTTGTCCAGATATATTATATATATATGTAGTGGACGAAAACTTAGGTGGGGTTGACCAATTTACTGTCTTATGAAAGATTACAGAGTGCTTTCGTAAAATATGAAAACCACAGACTGAGTACATCATCCGCACATATTCTTTTAGTTGTTCTTGAAGTATTTCTTGATTCTTTTAGTTCTGTTGTTACTTCAATCGCTCTTTGTTTCCTTTCCTGTTCTGTTCAATTCAATCTTGTTCTGGCAGGCATTCTACTTCTGATTGGTGCTACATACTACTTGTATTTGTCAGCATAAGTAGCATGCACCATATATATATTTTTATACTGATTATTGATGATTTATAATTAATACAAATAAAACTCGTGATGTCGTGAATCTTAAATCAGATTTCATAGGTATTCAGCTTACTTATTTATTAAAAATGACCAGATATCAAGCCAGTCCTTCAATTGTAAGTATTCAAATTTAGATTGTTTAAATAGATTAAAATAATCTATCGTCCTACTGACCATAACATTATGTTATAAATATATGCTATTATTTTAAGGTAATCTAACAGCATTGAATTTTGGGTCTATCCCCCCAGATAGAGTGAGAAAACGTATCTCAGAATCCTCATTCCGTCGATTTTCTCCATAACTCACCTAATGAATAGACATTCATATACTTGGATTGGAGCCACATTTTAAATATCACTGCTGTTAATAACGTACGGCTGCTTTAACCGAAATATAAGAAGAGTTGTTTAATCATGCAATTTGCTAATTGAAGGTCAAAAGACTTAATCACTGAGCCATCGCTCCTATCTCGTTGACAGACTATACAGTTTGCTTTACATATTCACAAACAACACTAAACAATGATAATGTTGATTACATTTGATAAAATGTATATTTACTTACATAATTAGCAACAAGATATATTTTTATATACATATATGTTGTCAGAAATGCATTCAAACTAACACAACTTTTGTTTCTTAAATAAATGTAACAATAATAAACAGTACTACTTTTTTAAGACGGCAATTTATGTACCTTAATTATTTACTTTACATCCACTAGTAAATCTCTTTGATTTTAATTATCGGCATAATGGGAAGAGAACTAACAAAGTAAACTTACTTTAAAAAGAACAGATAATACAGCTAAGCCATTTGGTTTTGAAAGTGCGTTAGAAAAGTTTTGGTATAAAATAAAATTGAATGCATACAGTTGTAGCTGTGAAATAAATATGCAAAAGGAGAAGTGCGTAATACCAGTATAAACATAATTTAGCTATTTTCGTTAAATTATTTAAGACGTTATAACATAAACTAATTCATATAATTACAAGTAATGAAACACAGTCTTAGCTAAGCAGTCAGAAAGCTATTCGCATGTGGTATAAGGGTTAGTGAATATGCCGATTAAAATCAGATGTTAAACCAAGTTCATACTGAATATGTGTCCAATAACAAAAGCAATATTTTGTGTTGTTGAATGAGTAATGACACAGTGTGGTTGAATAATCTAATTTTATTTTTATTTTGTCGGTTTAAGCGAACATAATGTCTAAACAAACTGACTTAACATAATACAATCTATTTTGTTGTTACCAGCTATTTACCTATAAAGTGATGGATAGAACTACTAACCGTTTTAAAAGATAAATATGAGATCTAATACAAAATATTCTTTTAATTCTTCAGTAGACAGATACCTCAGCGGGGAAAGCAATACCATCAATTTGGTGATCTGAACCACGATCTGATCTTGAGCCAAATTTGATTAAAGCTCCAAAGAATTTGTAGTTGTATACTAACGGTCCTTCACTGAATACAATTGATGCTATTGAATCGAGGATTTTCACCTGTAAATCTTGTCCTGTATTCACTACCTCAACATCAATCTATAAAAAGGTACATAAGAGTTAATAAATCGAGATGTAACTTTTCATCATTTACTCTGCTCTACTACTGATTGAATTAAACTAACTTAGGTTTGACTAACAAGCAATTTTACACTAGCAAATTTGGTTAGATCTTCAGTTTACAACATAAAATGTTCTGAAGTACATAATTTAGAAATAAACAACTTGAATGTCAGCTACACAGTTATACAAGCAGAGATGTTTTTTAAATGTATATGATGCGAATCAAGACTCATGCAGTTACTGCAACTTATAGAACGCTCAGAATCTGTAGTCTTCAATTGAGTTCTCCCTTCTTCTGAAGACAGTATAGCGACTCATGTGCAACTGACTTTCTTCTCATTTAACTCCGTTAAGCCCTTTTGCTAACTTATTTAGCGAACAAAGTCATCCGCATCATAACAACTTGTTGTACTTTTATTATTATTGTTCTTACATGAAATATGTGTGAACGAACATGGTTTACCGCCTACGCAGATATTCATTCTGCCAACTTCACTAATAACTGCTTAATCTATTCGTTGACTTGTAGTGTCAGTCATTATTTTAAGCCCATATACTTTATTCTAACTTTTGGACAGCACAATCTATTCATTCTACTTGAGTCATATTTTGACCTTGTCAATTATTCGCTTATCAGTCTTGACTGTGTTTATATGAGCGTATATGTGTGTACACTTCATATCCCATGTCTCACCACTGCCTGTAGTTTATCTTGTCTGCCTATAAATATTGAGTAACGCCTGGCTAAAAATGAGTTAGCTTACCAGTCATCTCTCCTGCGCGTCATGTTGCTTTGTTCTATCACATTCAATTTATGTACAAAATACATGTATTCAAAGGCCATTCTCGTTAATTGACTTATCTAAATTCCGTTATTGACTAACGTGATTTAAGTCGATGATTGTATACGAGGATAGGTGATAATAAACATTCGTACGACCTGAATTGGAGTCAGATCAACGGGCCACTAAAACTTTTAGTAGGAATGCTTGTTTTCAAATTTTTGGACCTCATAGAGATTTTTCTCAGTGTAAGACCAGTAAATTTCTTTGCATGTACACGCAGCATGAATTGATTTGCATTTCTAGCAAATATTTCACTCTTGCTTGGTTCCTTATTTTCGTTTATGAATAAAAAATCGGTTAACTGAAAAATCCAACAAACACATTTCAGAAACTAGTGAGTTCATACTTAAAACGTTCTCTAAAAATACTTAGAGAATTCGTCAGTATATTGGACACTTTATTGCTCTTTGTCCCAGCTTTTATATTATATTAAACTAATCGTGAAAGAATCTACAGTCGAACATTTGCTTAGACACACGTTTCCCATTACAGTTTGTAAATTTAACTTTTACCGGAAAATAAAGTCAATTTTTATTTCAGTCTCTTAAAATAGTACTGAATTCAGTTGTTCAGTTTTCATCTAGTTAAACTGACACTTTATATAGAACGAAATAATCAGGAATTCACTGTGGTGTAAATAATCAGGCTCACACTTACTTGCTTATCTGAACCTGAGATTTTCAATGGCACTAAATTAGGGTCAAAGAGTAGATGTTTCGTGGAGATACTGATTGGAGATTGCATTTTCCCTTGATAACAAGCTGGCCATAAGTCATTGGCAATAGCCATGAAAGCTGTCTGTCCCCAATGACTCGGACCTAGTAGTAAATGGACCAAAATATTTTTAAATTTATATGCCATTATCAATCATAATACTAGAAATTCACTGTTTTTTCTTCATGAAAACGTTGCAATTAAAATTAACGAAGATGATTAAACGAAAAAATAATTTAAAAACGGCTTTTTTATTGGAGTTTAATAATTAGTCGGTACACTTCAATTTATCTTTCGATAAGAATCTCATTATTGGAAAAATAGCTCAAGTCATTTGCATGTAACTGAATATTGACGTATATGTTAGATATCAAACATAAGGCTCAAACATTTTAATATGAATTAACTTCAGAAGAAACACTATGTTGAAAAAGATTCTTAGAGTACTAGCAATGATTCATCATTTCCATCACATCAAATAGACAACATGAAAATTAAAATCTCCACTTAAAATTTTGATATATTTGAACTATAAGTGCTGCCAGGTTTAAATTGGGACGTCAATGAACAATGCTTCTTTCTTGACGACAATATTGAACCAATCCAATCGCAAAAGAAACTTATCGACTGCAGTCCTAAATATCAATGAGGAGGATTCAAACAACTGATACGAACGGATGATAAAGTTACTGAAAACGATTGTTTGCTCAAATATTCTGTTTCTAAATATTCTATGTGAGTTTTATCAATTGCTAAATTAAAAACAGTAAACGCTTAAGGTTATGTAAATTATGCGGTAATATTTTACCGTATATGAATGTTCCATACAAATGAGAATTAAGAACACGATGGATCAGATGTATTTTGAGAATTGAATCAATATATTTGTACTCAAACTGACATGGTGTTTAATAGTAATTTAGATTGTTCAAATCAAGTGTAAGAATAAGCCATTTTAATTGTTAAATGTTAACAAATAAATTCATTAGTGATATTTGTTTGGTGCATATTTATTATTCTTATCATATTGGATAATAAAAGTTCATTTCATTTTAAATTATCACTCTTAATTTTACGGATTTGATTGTCATGTTAAAGCAAAACGCTGATTTATGTGTATATCAGTCCATTTTCTACATGTAGTTTGTAATGATGATTATGCTATAAAAAATGTTGAAATAATCATTCAACTTTATATGTGGAACATGGAAAATCGACTAAAAAATTAATCCATACCTCCCATTACGCCTTCTTTGTAGTGCCACCATGTATCCCAAGAAGGATCCCAAGAACCGTCATGCCACAAAGCATTCATTCTCCCTGAAAAAAATTTCAAATGTATAAAGTAACAACCATTGTCAACAAGAAGAAAACTACTTGACACAATGTATTCTTAATGTGCAGTCATTTCTGGATGTCTAAACAAATGACAAATATTAAAATGTGAAATCGGTTACATCGTGTTTATCAAGAAACGTGGATTGTAAATAATTTTGTCAACAATATCTATATTTTCAACTGAATGTATTTCTTCGTTGCCACACATTAACAGACACTTCATTTAAATATATTTTCATAATTTCGGTTTATTTCTGTGTTCTGTGTCAACATTATTAGTTTAAGTTGCGTTTTAATCTTTTTGACAGCAAACAACTGAAATCCAAAACTTTGTCTAAACTATTGTCCGCTACTCTGGTATCTATTTTCAAACATTTTCCCAGTATATGCTAATTTACTGGGTAAATATTATCTTTACAATTGAATTTCCTCGTCAATCAATGGGTGAAATATAAACTTGTGTTGTAACCCAACACCAAATCTATTTGAAAATATATCAAACTTTTCATTTGCTCCAAATTAAAAGAAAGGTCGAAAATGGATGCGGTTGTTTCACACAACTAAATATATTCCTAACAAAATTTACGACCTTATTGATATCTTGTGAATTATCACTATTCCATACAAATAACAAATTATGTAATTACAATTTAATTCTATTTTTTTACTCTTTTAGAAAGTGATTCGAAGAAAAAGACAATTTATACTTGGTAAAAACATCTCCATAAGTGCCAAGTAATGTGATCTAAAGATCTAAATAAAAAGATCCGGGGTAAAAACTGATTGTTTGAAAATCGAATTTCAATTAGAATTTATCAAAAAATTAAATTAATTAAGAATCTGAACATAATTAATCATTTACTTTGCAAACTTTGTAAATACTAATAACAATGACTTTTAGATTTCAAACAGTTTATTGCATTTAAAATATTGTATTAAAGCAGCATGGATTAGCCAGTTGTTTTATTCCAAACTAAAAGCTCCTAATAGTGAATAAGTACAACACTAGATAAGAATAAACACACAAAAGCTACATATGTCGATAGGTCTACAAATATCCAGCTTATACATAGTCCATTCGAAATTCCTTTACATTGATTAATACTACCTATAAAAGTCAAGTCATTGGTTCGATATTTCAGAGCTATCGGTTTACTCAGTAAAGCATTCAAGAATGAAACCAAGTATATATTTTACGTCCTATACTGATTATTGGAATCTACCGATTTGAGAACGTAGGTTATACTAAATTCAACCAGTATGAGTAATCAGTAGAACAACTCACTAGGCAGGCATTCAAGTATGAGCTACAATATAGGTCTGAGGGCTAGTGATGCTTGATCGTTCTACAAACCGAAGCAGGGGATAGCGAGGTTTGAACTTGGAACTTAGTGACTGATAGCCGGAAGCCCTAACATATAAGTTGTCCTAAATTATCTAGAAGTTGAGAGCTCTCACGCAAGACCGAAAGTCCTGAGTTAGATATATCGGGATCAGTGGTCCTATACTAGGCCGAAACAACTGTCCAGTACATAAGCATACTAGTGGATTTCTTTTTTATTATACATCAGTAAAATTACGTCTGTTCAAATTTTCTTTCTTATTAGTTTACAATCTTTGCAAGAAGGGAAACTCAAACTGAACAGCTTTTTTACGTATGGTTGATGCAAAACACTAGTTTATAAATTCTAATGATGGGATATTGAGTTCATATTACAAACTCCATATAAATATTCGTTACTGTTTGAATTATTGCTTACAAAGACACAGAATCGTAGGACGAACTACCTGAAAAAATAGTAATTTGTTCTTTCATCAGTTTGATTTCAGACCAGTGATAAAAAGAATGCAATTTTTGATGGATAGAAAACTTTGTGGGGAATAATCAACACATTATATCATTTAAAATTTCCCGTAGGGCCATATTCATTGGAACTGAATTATATTTTGACAACTTGGGAATAATTTATTGGTGAACATAAAAAGACTAAGTCAAACATCATGACAATGTCTTGTTAACTGCTAGCAATGTAATCATGAACCTCAAAGGTTGGTCATATTCGATAATGGGATTTATCAAGTAAAAATGATGCAAGTCAGGTTTTTCATGTCGCTTACTTTTTAATGACGACTTATATGTACGAAAACAGCATGTTTGTATACTCATTTTATTGATTTTTCTAAAACAAACAAAAATCCTCTTTATGACAACCTAAAGGTTCGACGAAATCCTAATGATAAACATACCGAGATAAAATCCAATAAGAATTTCTTTTACCTCAAACCTGGATTATTACTGAATGGACAAATAGTAGATTTAAAAAAAGATTATTTATTTCTTAGAGAAGATTCAGAGTTTGCTTTTTTACTCAACACAAGTTAAAATTGGTACAAACAAAAATTAAGTAAATGTATATTGGATATTAACTAGATTTGTTACCTTTATTTTAAAAGATAATGCAATCTCTCATTCGAGTGTTTAATTACATGCAAAATAATAATGAATTACTTCATTTAGTTTAGCGATATTATGTAATAATCACACTATTTACAGTGCTCTACTACATTAGATAAGAAGTTATTCGCACTTACAACGAATGTAATTTAATCCAGTGGAAGAGTAGTATTTAATCCATTTTAGATATAGTGTACTTATTTTTGAATATTTGTTATTTAAATCAGTTGTACTGGTTTTAATCGAAGAATTGTTAAAAATAACTACCGTTTTATTTTCTATTTAATCAACCATTTCTTTCTTACATTTTAAAAATTCTTTATCAATAAGAGTACAACAATTAAGAAATATCTATATCTATATATATAACACTGCGTAAAGCGTATAATTAACTTTTGTTTATCTATATTTATTTGAAAACTTGAAGCAAATCACGTTTATGTTACACTGACATTATAAAGTGTACAGATTCACAGTATAACCAATGAACCACAACTTGTGATTAAAGTTTGTTTTCATTTCAAAGTGTATTTTTAAGTGAATAAGAATTTGAATGAAATACCCTTCAAAATAATATGACTAAATTTAAATAATATATTCGACTTATTTTACAAGATTAATAATTCTTGTATCATCTTTTTTGGGGATAAACTTAGTTATATTGTAATATACACATGGTATATACTTCCTGTATTAAGTTTAATAAGTATGACCCATAACTTGTGTAGCTATCAAATATCGGCAGACATATTGTAGATTTAGCAAACGTTCGCATATGCTTAGCATAGAAATACACTATCACTTCTTACTGCTTGTAACTTTTTTGTGTTATTTACAATATTTATGTGTTTTGTTCTATGTTTTTGACGAGTACTACAACATAACATGCTAATCATGTGACAGACTAGCTAACTTCAAAATTATGCTTTGTTTATGACTTAAAATTTTAGATAATATTAAAAGGATAAGTCAGTATGGAAGACAAATACATAATGTATTCGCTTAAATTAGTTCAATTAAGAAATGAAGTTTTTGTACCTTTCAGCCACTAAAACTCATTATTAAGAATATCAGACAATTCAGTCTAGTGTATAGGTTTATAAAACTCAGGTATTTAAAAACAGTGGATTTATCAGCAATGATGTTACAACAATAGACCTTACGATTTTCTCTCATGAAAACTGACATCTTGATGCTGACTAAACCGCCTAAATGTCATATTATCATTACAAACTGGATTGTGAAATAATTCTATCCCAAGGGTGGCTAGTAAATATTATTATATTGACCTTGTAATCAATAGCTTAAATGTCTAGTACTGTTACTAACATATAAATGAACAAGGCACAATATATAAAAAAGGCATTTGAATAATAAGTTATTTTAGATCAAACTGAAACAGTGAGATAAACGGTTCTACGTTCATCAGAGCAACTTATACACATCCTCTAGACAAATGGAAATTCCGTACTTGATTTCACAGCAGTTAACAGTTGATTAATGCCATAGTTTCACAATCTGGTTTAAATAAAACTAAGGTTTGTGAAGTTTCCTAACTTTTACACTTAAAGTTTAGAAGGACGAGTATAATGTTGATGAATTACGTGTTTGATACTTCAGTATTTTATTAAACCTATCTGTAAGGATAACATTGAAAATCAAGAAACGTTTCCGATGTATGCGATTCTACTACGTTGGTCAAAAGCTATTTAATTTAGCATAACATTTATTGTAGATCAGGGTTTAGCATTTCCAAGACATTTTATCCTATTCATTAAATTGATTTCTCACCTAAAAAAAGATAACCATGAAGTAGAAGAAAATCCCCTATCATGATGTTTATTTTGCGAACAACTGTGAATTTATTCTAGGGATTGTTTTGAATCAACTAACTTTGAAAATATTTGTGGTAACATTGCTTAGAAAATTGAAACGGTCATCAAATGTGAATTTTGACTGTCACATAAAATTAACAACAAAATACTTAAAATAGAGCAAAACAATTGTAGATCTAATCACTTCAAAAAACATTCGAATCAATCATAATTCAATGTAAAAATTACTATAGGTACAAATTTAGTCAGTCGTTTTTATTCCTGATAATTATTCATTGTTTGTTTTAAACTATTTTGTCAGCTTACGGTATCATTTCAATGGTATAGTTAGAGTATAAGGATTATAGAAAATAAGAAAATTTGTGAAGATTTTTACGACATCAACTAAAATAATTCAAAAGTTCACTTAGGCATGTTGAATAAACAGCATATGAAATAAATGTGAGTGATTCATTGTGAAATGACACTGTCAAGTCACTGAAATGATCTGTTTGGATAGTCAGTTATCAACGCAAAATTTCTTGCTTAGGTCACAAAATGAAAATACCACATTGTTGTGACACCTCTTGTCAATGTATAAACAGCCTATATAGCAATGTACTATGATTCTAGTCAATTGATGCTTAACGTGTTTTAGTGTTATCTAGTGCGAATGTTAAGTTGACCTCTATTTCATAATCAAAGTAGAAGTA